AGGAGGAGGAGGAGAAGGAGAAGGAGAAGGAGAAGGAGAAGGAGAAGGAGAAGGAGAAGGAGAAGGAGAAGGAGAAGGAGAAGGAGAAGAAGGAGAAGGAGAAGAAGGAGAAGGAGAAGAAGCAGAAGGAGAATGAGAAGAAGGAGAAGGAGAAGGAGAAGGAGAATGAGAAGAAGGAGAAGGAGAAGGAGAAGAAGAAGAAGGAGAAGGAGAAGGAGAAGAAGCAGAAGGAGAAGGAGAAGAAGCAGAAGAAGAAGGAGAAGGAGAACGAGAAGGAGAACGAGAAGAAGGAGGAGAAGAAGGAGAAGAAGGAGGGAGAAGGAGAAGAAGGAGGAGAAGAAGAAGGAGAAGGAGAAGAAGAAATAAGGAGAAGGAGAAGAAGAAGGAGAAGGAGAAGGAGAAGAAGAATAGGAGTCTCTCACGCTTCTGGCGCCGGTGGCGCGCGTATAAAGATCAAGGCTTTAGCCTTCTTCGTGTTCTGGGCATTCCTCTAGCGGTGAAAGATCCGGTTCCGATGATAATTATACAAAACATTTTTATTCTTGAAAAAATACCATTTAAAAAAATCCAAACTAAGGAAAAAAAAACAAGTAAAAATCCGAAAAGAAAAATAAAACACTTTTTTAAAATCAAAATGAAAAATATAAATTAGACATAATTAAATAATATAAAATAAAAAACAAAGAATCCGAAATTATATGCACTTTAGTTAATCTGCATCTAATGTGTTCATGACTTATATGGATATATTTTTTAGGGTGAGCAGAATAGAGAATTTCATTGAGGGAGTTTTGTCAAATAGCCTCTTTGAAATTATACTTTCAAAAAAATAATTTATTTTAACAGAAGTAAAAGCAAAAACCTTTATCAAGTTTTTTAAAAGGTAATATCTATGTATGAATTTTAGAAGAAAAAAAGAAATTAATATGACTAAAATGTCTTTCTTGTTAATTCAATCTTCATTAATTATTTCATATGCGGCAAAATATATATCATTTTGGATTGTTGCACCCTATTAAGAAAAGTCGAAAACTAACACATATGCTTTAATTATACAAAAATAAAAAAGAAAAACAAATCATAATTAATTAAGATGGATAAGGGATAACATGGTAAAATGCAATTAATGTAAAAAATGGGTCTTCTTATTTTTAACCACTTTAAAGTTTTTCAACCTTTCACTAGTGTTAAATTACATCTTCTTTCATTATGTGAGTAGGAGTAACTTCCTTATAACTCCTACATGTAACTTTAATTGAAAGAGAATATGTGAACTACAATGGATTTTGATTGTTGGTATTATTATAGTTTATGTGAGGATATGAACTTAATTGGGACTCGTCCAAAAATCAAACAAACAATAGAATTCTTGAAATTTGGCCTAGAGATCAAAGATCTAGAGGAGACAAATTTGTTATTTCTAGCCACTAGAAAAGTTATGTCGATGCGATCTTGGTCCATCAGAATATTACATCCAGAAGATGTTCAAACGTTTTCATGTGAATAAAGCGAAATTATCAAGTAATACATATGGAAGTTCGACAGTTAGATAGGTCGAATGGTTCACTTCATCCTGTGGAGGAGGACGATGAAGTTTTAGCAACTGAAGTGCTTTATCTAATTAAGTGCAATATGTGTGTTATTGTACATAAATCCACGTATTCGATATGATTTAGTGTTTTTGATAAATTTGTGAGGTAGACTTAGCTCACATCATCGGTACGTTATATGTGTCAGTGAAAGATGCAAAGCTTGTGAATTATACTGATACTGACGAGAAGTCATACACACACAAAGCTCATTCCCAAAATCTATTATTTTGTATTGATAATATAGTTGTCTTGGAGATCTGTGAAATTTAACTTAGTTGTCACTTAGTCAAGCGTGAATGCATTGAGCAATCGAAGGCCGGCTTCTTGAAAAGTGTCTTGAAACCAAGGTTGGGCATGTTCGAGATTCTTCTGAATTGGCTAACACGGAAGATCTTAATAGGAATCCCTAAGGGGTAGTGTTGTAAATAATGTGCAAAATGGGTCTTCATATTCTTAACCACTTTGAGATTTGTCAACCTCCCACTAGTGTTAACTTCTCACTTTTTCTTTCATTATGTGTGTAGGAGATAACTTGTAACTCCTACGTTTAACTTCTTGTAACTTCTATTTGTTTGTTACCAGCTATATAAATGAGAATCTCTCATTCCCCTAATAACCCCACAACGATTTCTCTACGAATCGTCTCTCTTGTATTTTTGTTTTCTCTATATTATTATTCTCGTTATTTATGGTCTTATGTATTTCCACAATCACCAAACCAAAGAGCTAGATTAAATAGATTATTTTACAATATATATATATATATAATAATTAATGCATCATTAAGGATAATATAAAGGCGGCAGATATATGTAAGCCCATTTTTTTATTAGTTCAAATCCACATAAAGGGGTTTATTAGTTCAAGCACGCAAGTTAATATAATTTTATTACATCAAGACCAAAGAGGACAAATATACCCTTATCTACAAATAATATCCAAATACAAATAAACCTTATTTTTAATTTGCTCAAAACCAAAATATCAAAAAAAAAACAAAAAAAAAAAAAAATCACGACTGCCGCCGTCAGACCACCGCGACGCCGACCAGCGAGACTTCTATCGCGCGGCGATGACCAGCGACCCACCCACCGCACCATTAGCACCACCATCGCACCACCACCAACAAGTAAGTCTTTTTTTACTAAACTTTTGTTTGTAAATTCGAAAACATGAATCGAGCATCGATTCTTGATAAATATGTGTGGATGAATATTAATTTATGCTTATTTCTTGTTGGATTGCAATTCTTTGGCCGATTTTGGAAAATAAATTGAGATTGAAATTGATTTTTTTTTTTTTGTGTCTTCGTTGGTTTCCCAAATCGGGTTACCCAAACCGATTTTGTACATGAAAATCGGCTTCATGATGCCGATTTTTGTTAACCAAATCGGCGACACAACGTCGACTTTACAAGTCAAAATTGGCGTTGTAATGTCGATTATTGAGTACAAAATTGGTTTTCGAATACCGATATTTTTCGGTTTTTTTTCTTTTTTCTTTAAATAATATATTATATATTTGGTTAATTGATTTTTTTAAAATGTTTTGCAGTGGAACCTCAACCTCCTCGAGTACCGCCGACCGTCTCAAACTGTAACTGAAAGGAAAATGCTCAAAAGAGCAAGGTGGGAAAGCCAAAAAAAAGGCGTGCCCCTTTTGATCCTCCCGGTCGACGCACTCGGATTGATGAAGGTCCTTCTTCAATACCAATATCTCGGTATTTTTTGCTTTTTGGATTTTTTTTTCCAACTCATAATACACACTATCCTTACGTGTCTGGATCTTATAATACAACTTTAGAGATATTAAGCATATATATATATATATATATATATATATATATATATATATATATATATATATATATATATATATATATATATATATATATATATATATATATATATATATATATATATATATATATATATATATATATAAAAAAAAAATATATATATATATATATTTATATATAAAAAAAAAAAAAAAAAAAATATATATATATATATATATATATATATATATAT